ATGACAACGAAATGAACGATAATGACGAGGAGGTGATTGAGAAGCCAGCAGCGAATCCGTTAGTTGATGGTGACGATGTTGATGATCAGAATGACCGTAACATCTATGATAATGAGGATGCAGATTTAGACAATCCACTTGCCAAACATGATGAGGGGTAAAAATAGACATTGTAATAGTGTTATCTATAGACATTGTTGATATAATTTCAATTATTTATTAGAAGAAAATTAAATAAACCTATTAATAAGTAAATTTAATTTGGCATGGACATCTGCTACAGAAAATAAGATAAAGTGAACACATGTCAATTAGAAATTCAGGTTTATTAAATGCTACAGTTTTTTAATATTCACGATAGTCATTATTATTATTTGTTGTGTATGTCGCGCATAGTATAAATGTAGGGAAATTTTAGCTTTGCATCAAATGCATGGTAATCTTAGCCTCAATGATTCATTGCGACAAAAATAAAGTGGAAATACTATATCAAACGGTCAACTGTTTCCGTGAGCCTGGCTTCGAGTTTGTTGGATTTTACACATAAGATGCTCCGAAAAACCACGGGAGCCTTACCGGTCATATTAATGAGCTTAATAAGTAAACCTGAACCTCCCCTGCCAAATTTTGTAACGTTTCGAGTTATTAAATTTGGTAGGGGATAGCTTACCCCAATATATTGCCAAATGTGGCAAAATATCTACTACTAAATATGGTAGGGAGATTAGTGTTAAAGTTGAACAGTGATTGTACTTGAAAACTTCTTATTCAAATGGTGTCAACATTAGTACCAGAGGTTAATAATCCAGGAAAGTACTTAATACTTGAATGGATTCCTTACGAAGAAATCATTGACATAGAGCCAACACAAATTTCCACCGTCCATTATGCTCGTCGTTACCCTTTTGACGTTGGGAATGTACACAAACACTTGCTAAAATCCGACACATAAGGACAATAATGATGTCAGTCAATATACAACATGGCTTGAATATCGCAACAAACTCTGCACTGCATGTGGAATACTCCTGTGTGGACATAAACAATTTATCTGATGAATGGACTAGCAACTCTCAAACTCTGCAAATCGTGCCTATTTGGAATGGGACCATATTGGGAAATATGGATGGGCACATGATTTATATATTATGCCGAGATAAACCATTTACTTAGTCATGCTTATTGAATAGTTTAAATAATTATTGACTTAATATTATGTGATGAGCTTCCATAACTCAGATATTTGAGTTACATATGATGCAAGTAAACAAAAGTACTGTCTCATAATAATTGATGATGGATTATGTCTGGCACATGCATGTCAGTTAGAACCTATGATAAATGCACCCATTTCAACTGTAAAGCACCAAGACTATGAGATTGGACGACTGGCAACAAGTATTTGGATTCATTTATTATGGAATCATGGAAGAACATGAAGAACAAAGATGATGCTTAGATACAATGGATAGAGTATTCCCTATTGACAGACATACGAGAAATGACATCATTATGCCATGAATACTCACATATAGCAGATTGGTTAGAGCAGACAGTAGATGAACTGACAGAGTGATACTCAAACGGAATAGTTTACAAACAAAACGATTGGTTATAACAATGGTATTTGCTTACCTTGAATAGTTAACTAAGAAATACCCAGAGATATGAATATCAGGAGCCATCTACTTGGGAATATTATTTAGTTTTCTACCACAACATACATGCAATATTATACAAATGCATCATTATTATACTATGGAGTATATGCAGTATAACATATGCTTTTGAAATACCAAATTAAAATACATTCATCTTTCTAATAAGCAAAACAAAAGGAAAAATGTATAAATATTTTTTTAGAATATTCTTGCTGATACTTTGATCTTACATTGAAAAAAAATTTAATTTCCTACTAAAAATTTAAGAAAAAAACAATGCCCACTTCACTTTCTGTCATCACTTACATTACCCAACAAAACTGTAGAATCCATAAACAAATACAACATACAAAAAGGTCTCACATACTGCTGCCTACCCAACAATAACTCCCAACTGATACAATTTACATATTTTGTTCCTGAAAAAGAAGAAGACAGAAGATTCTGACAACTGGAAGCAGTTTATCTATTACATGGGAAAATTCATATCTGGTGAATGACGATCCTTTGATATGATCATTATTATATCTCACACTTGTTTACTTATCAAAATGGATGATTGTCCTGCCTCAGCTTTAATAGCACGATTTATAGGCAAAATGATCAATTATCAGTCTGTCACAACTATGGGAGTTTGTACAATTGTAGGTGTGAAAGAAAAGGAGAAAGACCAATGAATAAAGTAGTGGTACCCATTCAACCAATGGACGACTATTTAAGTCAGTAACAGCTGCTCCTAATTTACAGGCATCTGTCTGTCCTGGTTGCTTAAAAAACCCCCAAAAATATTTATTATTATGTCCAGTATTCTTGCATTGTTCCCTCACCCTCAGAAGAAGTACAGACAGCAACCCATATTCAGAATATCATAAGCTTATTGGTGATATATAATTTTTGCAAAATATGTGTGCTTTAAAGTTTTACTCTGGAGTTGTTGGTACTTTAGTCCTTGACTCTCAAATATTTGCTCAAGGACAAACTTATGTTGCAATAAGCAGATATCCAACATGGGATAAAGTAAGTATTCATCAAGATGCTTTTATAACAGACCCTGATGTTATAAATGAATATAAAAGGTTAGAAGGAATAGCATCTCAAAAGCTTCCTATAGTCTAGCAAAATTTACATTTAAATAAAAAAATTTTTTGGACTGACTTTGCCCAGAAACTATATATTACAACAACAAACAATAATTTATCAAATTTTAATACTAATACAGCAGTTATAAATAGGAGCCTGTGTTAAATGTTACAATTAATATCAATACAATAATAAAATTGGTTGACTGTGAATGTATCCAAAGTCAAATTTTCCAACTGAAAGCTGACTGATGAAATCAGGTGGCAACACTATGCATATATATGAAGAAAAAAAAAGGAAAAATTAAATTAATTTCGATTCTAATGCCAATGCCGTTTCTGATCCCAAATCTTAGTTTGACTACAATTTGCAAAAATTACGAAAATCATTATAATAGCATTAATGATCATCATTCAAACGCATTTAATCCACAAAAAAAATATATATATAATTAGCCCACGCTGATTAGAATTATTTGGAAAAACTCTTAAGATGTAATTATGAGAAAGCATAGTTTACAAATACGATTCCAACATTTTCTCTTGGAATGAGTTTCCCGCACTAGTAGTCGTGAAATGCATTTTAGCTTAAATTTATCCAACGGTAAAAATTCTAAAGGCCGACCGATGAAATCGGGCGGCACACTACACACATCTAGTTCGCTAATTATAAAAGAATAATTAATTATGCTAATTATAGCGGTTTGTACTGTCACTGATTTTCCGCAACGTTTTTGCAGCGCGCCGTCGCTGGTTTTTCGAAAAATTTTCGTGAAACTGAACTAAAATTAGTGTTGATCATGGATTTTATCATGTGACTCATTTATTCGCCGTGATTCATTCTATGACAAGGTAATTATCAAGTACGAATATAATATGTTTATCGATTGTTTAGATAAATGTTGACTTATGTATAATTACCACTACACTTATATCCAGATATTCTTACCACAGATGTTTGGGTTACCATATGTTATGTCTGGTGTGTACGCGGCCATTAAAACCTGAGATAAAATACATCCTGTTATGAATGTAAAGCACCGGCACCTCCTGATTGGACTACAGGCAACAAATCTTTGGAATGCAATCATGGCAGACTGCAACAAAACCAGACAAAGTGGATATCTGTTGTGTGACGTAAATGATAGGCTGGTGTGGTGTGGCTAAAAGTTAACTAATTTGATGTTTTGATTATAGCACTATTAGAAGCATTCTAAGAAAAAAATTGCACCATACGTTTTTAAAATTAATGACACCAAAATTCTCCAGGAATATCTAGATAAAGAAAAAATTACTTATGAAATTTACCGAGAAGAACGGAAATTAAAAACCAATAAACGAGCATTAACACCAACTTATAATGAACCAAGAAAACTTGAAAAAATGTAAAGGAAAGCAATTAACGTAAAGTTTTTAGGGCCTCCACTAATCGAGCAACTATCAATGGAAGATCATTCCTTATAGTCATCGGCTTGCTTATAAAGACTGCTTGAGTGCGTTCGTTGAGCTTTGACCACATTTCGCTCCTTGACACAATTGCAATCAGAGTCAAAATTACACAATAAAATTCAATTTTTGTAAGCACAATTATTATAGGATGCAATCACTTTCGAAAATATAAATAATAGTAAACGCACCAGAGCGATTGCATGGGAGGAATACTCGGACAGTGCTGTTTTTATAATAAAATATACGTTTGTTCATCATACACTGCGGAATTTTTGCGCATTGATTATCATTGGTCACATCTGCATTGTGAAAAGATCTCAATAATACGTCATTGATTAATTCGATTGATACAGTATTTATTCTTGGAACACGAGTTAGGATCTTTGTTCCCAATACAAATGAGCGGCCAACTCGAATCCGTACAACAAAAAATTACGAAGACTGAGGGAGAGATAGACCGCATTAAAGCTCTTCCGGCTGATGACCCAGAGCGGGCGGTATTCCTTGTCGCTCTCCCGTCTTTGTATTCCTTCCTTGATGGACTACAGAAAGAAAAAAATATTCTGTTGGAAGAGTCGAGGAGAGGTAACGTTTTGTGACTCGGGTGTTGGGGGCCATAGAGAGTGTGTACACCCTTTTGCTGTTCCCATTACTTGTATTTCGTTCTTGATCCGACGCTATGACGATTATTCTTGTTATGCTGCCTTTTGTCTTTGTTCACTCATTCATTTTTTATTTTTTTTTTTTTGCGTTCAATTTATTCGATCTCGCCCCTATTTCGTTTACTCGGACTGCTATTGTTGTACCAACTATGCATGCAACCAACATAGTTTCTGGTGAGTGATTTTTTAACACTGCCGCACCACCCAATTATCATGCATCAATCCATCCACCACCTTTGTTACCCAGTATATCTTGTGTTTTACATTTGCAACAGACTTTTACATACTTTTACAGTTTCATTTCTTGTCACTATGTCTAATTCTCTTCATTATTTATTGGCTCATTTGTTTCTTTTCTTGTAGGTGTTACTGAATCTGAAATCCAATTCTGGCAAAGCATCCATCAAGCAAAGATTGTTTTTCCTTACCCCAATAACTGGAAAGATTTCCTCCCATTTTCTCAATACATGGCTATCCGGGACAACAGTATCATCTTAAATGAGAACTTCATGATAGATTCAAAAGGGCGGCTGATTGATAACAAGGGTGAACAAGATCCTATACAGCTACCATTCAAGCTTTCTTCAGGAGAATCTGGATTTCCAGATAACTGGGGAGGCATGCTTTGCTTAGAGGATGCTACATTTGCCATAGTTTCAAAAAAGTCAAGGATGCTTATACGAAAGCCTTATCTGCAGCTAATCGATGTATTTGAGTATGATCATGCTAATAAGGGTAAAGCTGAGAGTGGTTGTGTTATTGTTGGCACACCAGGCATAGGCAAAACCTACTTTGGATTATATTTTCTCTTTTATATCACCCGTCGTTATCCCGATTCTGATATTATTTGGCATAATCAAAAAGGTTGCCTTTTATTTTCACCAAATCAACCAGTAAAAGCAGGACAAATTAAGGATTTGGATTTTCGCAAACAACTAGAAGACGATAATGCTTTCTATCTTGTTGATTCAGAGAGGCCAACTTCACCAGCTTTTGCATATACTCTTCTGTTCTCATCACCAAGGTCTGAAAGATGGAATGATTTTGTGAAGACAGAAGGCCACACTATTTACTACATGCCAATTTGGTCACCAGATGAAATTTGGGCACTTTGGAACCTAGAATACAAGAATTTATCAAAAAATCATGTTCAAAAATTGATGAATCGGTGGGGTCCAATACCTCGAATTATTTTTGATAAATATAAGGATGAACCAAATGTAAACAGTCTGATTAGCAAATGCAAGTTAGAAGATCTTGTCGATAAGATACAGTAACGTGCAAAAGTATCCTACTGCCTGTATCACATGAACATACATAATAACAACCCCTTAAATTTTCCTGAAAAAAAGTGTAACACAATGCATGATCACACGCACTTTTATAAGTTTGTAAACCATTTTTAAAGGGGTCAGATGAATTGTCAAACTTTTCGACTTAAAA